TTCAGTATCAAAGAAACATCGCGTCTACACCAAAGGTGTTTCAATCCTGCGTAAGCTGCTTGAGCCTTGGAAATGCGGGCGGTTACTTCATTGACTATGCTACCATCATTTGAAACGCAGCTACCTAAGTATGTGAAACATTCCACTACAGCTAATTCTTGACCCTCAAGCATCAGCGCTGGGGTAGACGACACATAGTCTTGTAGCATCACTTTGCACTTTGAAGATGCAAAGCACATGTCGAAAGGAGATGCAGAACTTGCTAGTCTGTCAAGAGCGCATTGCGCATCCTCCAAAGATTCGAACAGGCATACGATGTCATCAGCGTACTCTAAATCGCACAGCTTTGCTCCAGATGTACATTCAATACCTACGTTCTGGAGACCAGGAAGTGCGTTCTCCAGTACTTCGTCAATGACAAAATTGAACTGGAATGGCGAAATGGGGCACCCTTGACGGACACCGCTCTTGGTTTCGAACGATTTACTTAGCCCACCGTAGACCCTTACGCTACCAGTAGTATGCAGATACAACGACCGCAATAGGTTTACACACTTCCGCGGCATTCCTTTGCGGAACAGCGACCCCAGAAGAGCTTCACGGTCAACTGAATAGAAGGCTCCTTTTAGTTCAAGGAACACTGCGATTGTTGGCCGACGATGTGTGTGACGCAGTTTGAGGACTTGATGCAGAGTGAAGATTTGGTCGATGCACCCGCGACCTGGTCGGAATTAGGCTAGTTGTTCGCGGATATTCCTCTCCCTTAAGGGTGTCAGACGGCGAAGTATCACAGAAGTCAACACTTTTGTGATTATCGGGACTGAACTAATCCCACGGTGGTTAGCGCAGTCGTCGCGTGGTCCCTTCTTGAAAATAGGGGCGATCAACGATTCACCCCAGGACAAAGGGATACGCTCCTCCGTCCAAATGCTGCAAAGTAAGCTAGTAATTGAGTCGACAAGAGAATCTCCGCCAACCTTGAAAAGAATAGGGAGAAGCCCATCAG